GGTTTTGGAGGATATGAGATTTCTTCTAAAACTCTTACTCATCCTTGGTGCTGCATCCTGTATTGTCGTTTCTCGTTCTCGTTTGTAACGTGACTGTCCTGTTTTAGGTGCGGGCATTGCCTCCACATGTTCACCGTTCATGTAAATATCAATCTAATAAGTACAAAGAAAAATCTCTGAACATAACTTCCTCCAACTGACTGGCCATGCAATTTGCTTGGAGTTTGTCTGTTGTTCAAGCAAGAAGCTTCAAAAGTGACCAGGGTCATCACTTGTGAAGGCTTTCTCGCCTTATCCCTGAAAGGCTTCTTCCCAGGCCTTCCCCGTCAATGCAATTCGGTTACGTATCCGAGACGAACAGTCAGGAAACTCACACGGATCACGTGACCCAAAACGCGGGATAGTGAGGTCTGGACTAGGCAAGAGCGAAAACGTAAGCTGCAAATACAGCCGTTTCTCCTCCCCGCTCGCCGCTCGCCGCTTGGGACTTCGTCTCTCCTACAAAATGTTTCTAGCGGCAAGGAGCGAGGAGAGAAGGCCGTATACGCGGGCTAGCGAGAACGAGGTGCTTAATGTTAAAAAAACTATTCTTGGTTAGCTTTTGCGTTGTGGTACGAGCATTACTCAGCGTATTTACAATCTTTTTTAAGTAATGCCACTTGCAGACTGCATCTGCATCCACACCACCAAGAAAATAACCGAAACGTTGCAGAACCTCTTTGTTAAAGGACCAGAGACCATCAAATAACTAAATCGCTTTTAAAGATTCTTTAACGTACATTTACTTACATTGACTTTGTCTTTGGGATACAAGAAAGAATACAGCCTCAAAAGGGGAGATCTATATACAAAAATAATTATGATGATCAAATTTGAATGTAAACTGTTAATTTGCATAAAAGTTTATGGTTTCAAAGAGATCAACTGAATTAAAGTTTTTATACTTACACTCTTGGTCTTCCTCCAACAATGGCAGTCAGTCCAGGAGCTATAAAAGCAAATAGAGATTCTTCAATTTAACAGTTAAAAACCAACCAGTTTTAAATTATTAAAATAACCTCGAGCTCCAACTTCTCCTAGAATTCCACGAGCCTCGAATAACTTATGGGGAAGAAAGCAAATTTAACTAAACGAATTTCTTATAATTTTCCATATTTCCATAGATAATTTAAAACAATGGCTCGCTAACGATAAATGTTATTTCTGACGTTTGAGAGACAAGGGAACGAATTAGTCAGAAATTAATATTCTGACGGCAACGTTTTAGGGGCGCTAGGGCTCGTGGGATAGTTTCGGACTATTTATGGTTTGGGAGCCATATTTATGCCATTCTACGTCAGCTCTTTCGTCGTGGTAGTTTTCGTTTTCTTTTGCAAAAATTTCTTTTCCGATGGTTGACATTCTTCTTTCGTGTTCGGATCTGTATGTTTTGGGAATAACCTTATTTTGGTATATAGTTCATGTATTTAGGCAACTGGTCCTGCACTCTTTTGAAATTAGTCTCTTTTTGGAGTAGTCTGTGTAATAAGGTATTCACCGTTTTATGTCTTTCACTTATCAAAACCCTTTTCCGGGGTTTTGTGCCACTGTATTAGTGGGGCACTACGTTTCCACCCATTTTTTGGTAACTTCTCCAGGGTGGTTGTTTGGTGGTTTTTTGTATCTGGCGTAGCATACGTTATAGCCTAGAACATGTAACAGTATTTTTCTATAACTATAACACTGACGTAACTAAACTGGGATACATCTACAACAGGTGACTGACTGACGCATCCTAAATAAACTTTTCACATTGAATGTCTCGTGTTAGTGGAGTCAGAATGAGTGTAACAAAGGACTCGCCAAGGAGGGTCAATCGACCGAAGCCTGTCCCGTTTTCGAACGCATGAAGCACCTAGATATATTCATGTTCCCTTCATGGATAGGACGCTGATCCATTGCAGAATTATCCCCCAAGTTATCATATTGGTGGTAACTATTTATACAACCTTGAGAGGGTCTGTGGAGCAAAGTCGCTTATCTGAGAAACAACGCGTTGGCAGAGCGCGACCTGTATGTGACGTATGTGATTAGAGCAAAAAAATACTCAGAGGGAATTAGGGAGGAATAAGGCGTTCGTCAAAAAGGGGAGCAGTTGGGATACGGCAAGGAAGAAGGAAAATGTAAAATTAAACGTAAAATTGTACATCGACCATAAACTTCAAACTTGTTGCCTGTTTATTCTAATTCATACATACATGTACTAACCCATGCTAGTGCCTGCAGAAGCTATTTCCATCGCAAACAATTCAAGAGCTTTTCTCTGATGGTGATGAGCTGCCAGCCATAATACTGCTTCCCTAGGAGTCTTATATTCAATAAAATCAGCAGACAAATTAGTTTTAAATTACTTAACTGTTTTTTTGGAAGTGTCTTCCTCTCACTTGTAAAACCAACAAGATAAAAATTACAAGTGGCGTGGTTTTTTAGAAACCAACTGACGATTGACAAGAAGTAGCTGCAGCCTATGTCTATTCTCCGTCGTTACATCTAGTGGTGTATGTTTGCTGCTCGCTTTTTGTTTGTTTTTTGTTGTAATTCTCAGTAAAATGTAGAATTTATAGCACTATCGACATTTCGAGCAAATGTCACAAACAAATATTTCAAGTGAACATAAGAAGTTAGAAATGACAAGATGCAAACAGTCATATATTTTTTCAAGCGAAGCTGCGAAGAAACAAACAGATTGTGGGATCTAGTCGTTGCTAGCCTGAGCCCGAGACCTACAGATTTAAAATCTACCACCCTGTGACCACGCCTTGTCTCATAGTTTTACGAATTGTCAACATACTCAGTTGTTTTTTGAAAACACCGTCTCTATGAATTATGTGTGTACTCACTGCGGTCATGACTCCAGGAAAGGCTTGTTTTCCATACGTTTGTTCAGAGCCTATCACCTAAATGAAAGGCCAGGCAGTTTACAAGAGAGGAAATCCAATAAACATGGAACAAAGGTAAGCAGAAAAACCCGCTTACTCACATACTTCTAACATACTACGTGGACTGGTCGGGTGACCAAACTGGGGTCAGCCACTCAGCTCAAGGGTTTTTGAGCGAAGACCGTCAACCGGAAGTGGACTTATTTCATTCTAAGGCAATGTTTCTGCCAAAATTTTCGGGCGAATGTGGTAGTGTCGAGGCACATAAAATGATAGAAGGCCTTACGTCCGGTTGAAGTGCGTCGCTCAAAAACGCCTTTGCTTAGGCGCCCTATTGACAGTCGATGAAGACCGTCAGATGTACCCTCGCGTCAGAGGTCCATTCTTATAATATCTACGATTTATTACATGGCTAAATGCGCGAGCAGGCAAGATGAAGCGAATCATGTGTTCTGGTTGGCTAACCGAGCAGGCAAGATAGGCCCATCTTGAATTGCTACAATCTCTGGAGGAGAATTTCCTTAAAATCGGCTGGACTTTGAAGGCTCATAGAATGGTACGAAACTAGATAAACAGTCATCTTTTTATCTGTGATTACAAAATAATGGTCTTTCCGCAGCGTACTTAACTAGCGATTTCACGAATAAGGACGAAAAGCCGTAGGTCCTGTCTCACAGCACTTTCACTTATCTGGTTCTTGTGGGACGTAAAAGAACCCACACCACTGAAAAGAGTAGGGGACGCAGACCCCGCTGGTGTGGCCAACCTTTCCTGGACTGGGTGGGTTATCTGTAAGGAGAGATCTTAATTTATGGATAACTTCGTGATCCTTCTTCAGGTGTCATAATGGCTACCTGTAAACAGTGTATGTATGTAATGTATGTAACTTGTAATTAAATGAGGAAGCCTTAGGAAGCTATTCAGTACCTGAATATGAGTTCTTGTGTAATCATCCAGATTTAATTCTTTAAACATCCTTCTTGTCCTTTAAGAGAGAACGACATAAGATTTACGGTCTTTTCTCTCCCTGCTCATTTAGTCCCAGAATCTTAGGCCTCTCTTTTTAAGAACATAACAGACGCGATTACATTACAGACCTCCATGACCAACTTTGGGGAGAGGTTTAATATTCATTTCGATTTGAGTATTGAACCAGATATCTCCAAGGGACTAAACGTTAAAAACATACGAAAGCCAAAACAAGATCTCGTAATAGGACAGACAGGGAGTCTAGGGGCGTTGGCCTCTGGAAACTATGCATGGAACTCGCTTTCGCGATTCAGCGCTTCAAAGCGAGGCGTAGTCAACAAATGAAAGAAATGGCGGCCCAAAGCGGGGAGGATTTCCACACATGTTTGATCTGGTTTAATTCTCCTATTTTGACTACGAAAATGCCACAGGAACTGGATAAAACCTCTACAAAAACGGGTCTTTGAAAGAAAGCCTTTACGATCTCTTGTCAAAACCCACGAAGAAGGAACAAGTTTACATTTCCTTATGATGCTTTATTAATGACTAGTAAATTGTAAACCTTTTTAAGAGAGCTTCGCCTGTTTTTCTAGCCTTGAGTGAAGCAAACGGTCCTCCAACTGGACAAACTGCAGTGGCGCGAAAACCATCAGCATAAGTAGCACACACCTACAGGAAAAGGACGCTCTAGATGATTATAAAACATTTTGTCGTACTATAGAATTTTGCAGTCTCGGCTTTCTCCAGACTTTTCTCCATGCATTTCTTGTTTAAAAATAACCGTTTTCAAACAAGAGAAGGATTATCCATTTCAGGTGGGTCATCTGTCGGATAATTCGTGTCAAACGGTTACAGGACGGTTTCGTTTTAGACCATTAATTCGTCTGATATTATCCGTGAGTTAATCCGCCAATTTAGACGGATTTTGAAGATCACTGAATCGTTGCCAACAGTTACCGGCACCGTGCAACCGACTTATTGAAGCTTACTGACAAACAAGCAAAACTGACAACGATAAAATGACTGGACAACCGACAATTTGACAAACAATAAACCAACCGTTAAGCTGTAACAAAAGACGGATCGAAACGCACAAATGACATTTAGAGTCTTTAAAGGCAACAACATCATAGCCTGTGTACAACCGCCCCCTTTACTCAAAAACAACAGGCAAACGACCAAGAACATCGCGTCTTTTTTTACCTGTCCGGTCAATATCTAGCGTTAAATGCCATCAACTGACGTGATACAACTCACTTTGACTCTGAAGATGACTACCGCACACGTTGTCCAAACGTTAGTCACTGTCAACAACAGTCCTATTCAGGACTGCAGTCACTCGGACGATCATACTCCACTTGCTTATGATATACAGTGTACATCACTAAATGACGTACCTTGTAAGTGTCTGTAGGTGGTTCACCAATTGCTCCCTGAACAAGTACAGCGCCACCGTCATAACCTGGTCAGGACCAAATGTAAACAGGTTATGCAATCATAATAGTGATTTAGACAAAAACAATCTAAGGGCACAAGCTGTTGACTTATGGTAGCATATTATAAGTGCCTTATATACTCTGGTACATGCCGGTCCTTTGATGTTCATGGAACTCCGTTAATAGGGTCACCAATTGGCCAAAAAAATTTGGTCATATTAACGGGGTGGCCTTACTAACGAGGGGTTTTTTTTACAAGAAAATGTATGCCGGTTTTTGCCAGGCGGCCAAAAAATAGTGGCCGTAATAACGAGGTGACGGTATTACCGAGGTGGCCGTAAGGCGGGGTTTCACTGTACAATGTATCTATATTTGCTGACCAGCTTTAGTCTCACGGATAATTCTTTAGTGGATGGGTTACTATGAAGGAAAACAGCATAATTAACCAGCTAAAATTTCCAACAAAGATACATTGACAAAAAATGAGACATTTTTAACGAAACAATGAACAATGCTCGCGTCTAAATTCCTGACTTTCACGGACCGATTCCAAAAAAGTGAAAACGGCGACACCTAACAACCGAATGCTTCCGAATACGTCAGAAATGTCTCAACTGGTTTCTTCTGCGCTTTAGAAGACTGTTTGGTTAATTTGGAGCAACCCTAAAAACTACGGTATATCTAAAAAAATTATCTGTTCGGATGTCTTAGGGGAAATTTGGTCGTTACGAAAGTTTTAGGTTGCTTTTTCGTCTCATCTGAGATTGTTAGCTACTGTGATATGTTTAGCGTTTATTGTTACCCTTTTTTAGCCTTTAAATTTCTACGCAATAGTTGCTCCTTAGAACAGTTAATTTCAGTTCAGAAAAACTTCGTTGCCCCTGTTGACAAGTCGAAGTCAGTGACGCCATTATGGAACAAAGACTTACCAATAAGTCCTTGTAGCCTAACTTGCGTAAAGTTACAAATTACATCAGGGAGGATGTACCTAGCAGGATCTCCAAGCTCATAAACAAGCTATCAAACAAATAACATACGTAAGTAAATGTAGTGCATTTGTGACTATGATACTCAGAAAACAATGAAAGCCAGAAATATTTCTGCAATGTTACTGGGTTGCAAGGAAAAAGCCAATCAGGTATGAGAAAACTGTACTTAAGCCGCAATCCTTATTGACAAGGGAGGACAGGGGGGTAGGAGCCCAGGAGAATCAGGGGGGAGGGTTACGGGAGCCAGGAGAGGAGGAAAGAAAAGGAGGAAGCCAAAGAATTAAAGGGTAGGAGTTGGGAAGGCAAGGTATGGAGGGCAAGAGGTTAGGATCCCCTTGTCCAAAAGGTTTAATATGAAACACTGGGGTGCATCGAGGAGTTTTGGATGAATACTTTACTGCACTTTTTAATAACGTACACGCGAACTCTGAAGTTCAAAAGGCAACCAACGTTTGCGTAGTTCCAGTCTTAGAACACAGAAGTTTACTTCAAGGTGTTCAAAATTTTATGGTTTTTGGCTTTCGATTGGCAGTTTTTCAATCCATTTTTTGTGTTTCTGTGTTTCAAGGTTAGTAGCCTCCTCCCCTCGTCTAGCGCTTCTCGCAAAATGCCACGTTCACCTAGCTTGCCTCATAAACCGCCTGTTATGCAGACTACAAGGTTAGTTGCTTGTGATCGTAATTACATGTATGATTGATGGCAGCGAAAAAAGTAATTCAAGCTGGCTTTTAAATTTCAGCGATCGCGTTTTACTGAACAGAGCAGTAACTTTTATAAAATATTAATATTTTTTCTTTTTTCCTTGGGTTCGACTCAAATAGCTTGAAGGTAACTGCAGCTTTCAAGTATTGTGTGCTTGTTTTTACTAGCCAATAAAGTTTGTTGTTGTTGTTGTTATAAGCTGGAGAGGATGTTACCTGCTCTGAAACAGAAGATGGTGACACAAGTCCACCAGTGTTAGGAGGCTTGGAAAGAATAAATTTGCCATCTGCAGCACATTCTGCTACCGGATAACCAATACTGTCCCTAATTTGAAAGAAAAAAGGAAAGAAATGAGAATGAAAATAATAATAATAATAATAATAAACTTTTATTTGTGTCATTAGCACTAATGGATCTTACTGGAGACACCAAGTAAATAATATTATGTTTTAAGACAGAAAATGTACTACAAAATTCATAAAATTTGAATTTAAAGAATACATTCCATTCAAATCGGAAGGAAGAAGGAAGGCTACCAATTAGTGCAAAGAAACAGAACCTTCCATGGTTTTCTCTAACTTTTGACAAGGACCTGAAGGACCATAAGCTATGGCTCAGCAAAGTCATAAAACATTACAAACATTTGTACACCATACAAATGTCTGTAAAAAATTGTGACTTATCACCTATCACTCTTAAACTTAGCAAATTTACTGAGTTCAATGTGCTTTTGCCCCAAGTGAAGTTGGATTTTCCACAACTGGTCCTATTGAAAGAATCACCAATGCGGCCACATCTGGCCAATGGTATAAACAATAATATTAAATAAATGACTATAGGTAATGTTACATGAGACGATTCGCAATGACGATTTTTAGCCCAACACAGTGTTGCAACATTGTTGTGACATTGTTTTGAATGCTTGCAACATTGTTCCAACCCTGCAATGCTGTGTTGCACTAAAAATCATCATTGCAAATTGTCACGTGCAACATCACCGTTAAATAGATGTTAAGTACTTCATACCAGTCTGGGACAGTCTGCCAGTCAGTAAAGATTCCTCCTGTACACTGAGCCCCACATTCAATCAAATGACCAACCAAACTATTACGAAAAACATACATTGTTGACACATGTAATTCATTTTTACCTGAAATATTTTAGGTTGAATCATGATTCCAGAGGGTGAGAGAGCCCTACACAAGTAATGTTGAATGTTCTGACTCTTAGATTTACTTTCCTGATGTGATACAACTCAATTTGACTTTGACAATGACTACCGCACAGGTTGTTGAAATGTCAATCCCAGTCAACATCAGTCCTGTTCACCTGGACAATCATGCTCAACCTACGTCATGTCCTTATAAAATAATACAGTAGTACTGTCACTAAAATCCATCAAAAAGAATCATTTAACCTTCCTGCAGCGAGCAAGTCATAATCATCTGTCTTCCATCCAAACTATTGGTGACCAAAAAACAGATAAACATGGAGTATTAGGAATACATCATTCTGTAACCTTCATTCAGATATCATTGACTAAATTCCCGTGTATATAGGGCCTAATGGTATTCAACAGTATTCAAACAAATCTCTTCAATCATAGTGTTTTTAGTCAAAGGCCTTATTTCTGACATATGGGGCGCACAAACCTTCATAAATAACAATTTGCAGACCTAATTAGATACAATGTACACAGTGCTAGAAGATTGTAAGGTGGAATCATGATTTTTTAAACCACTCTAGGCAAAGCAAACTGGTTCGAATTATAAGGGGGTTTGGAAAATCGGAGTTAAAATAATACAGTCTTTGACAGGCAAAGGGAAGTTCAGTTTGGATTGAATTAAAAGGAATTTCAAACCAAGGGTTCAAGGAAGAAATTGATGTGCTGACATAATTTACAAGCCATAAAAGCTTGGAGTTCAAAAGTCAAGAATACAATGACGTAAATAGCCCTTGGCAAATATTTATCCAACAGAGTGGATCAATGCTTCTTGCAGAAACCACATCAGGGCTGTCACTAAAATTTCAAGTTGTCGGTGTATGCATTAGTAGGAGGGGAATTATCCAGCTATGAAGTTCTTTTGGTTCTATTTTGCTTTTGTTTCTTATGAAAGTAGCTGGGCTCACACTTTATAGTAGCTGCGGAAAATCCCCGGCCTCCGACTGTTAGTGATAGCCCTGCTACATTCTAGGCACTAAGGTCATTTCTATACCATACAGCAGAATGTAGATTATTTGGAATATTATTTCAAATAATTTATTATTTTATTACCTCATACATGAGCGGGCCCAGCGCTAGTGCACTATCCACACATCGTCCAGTAACCACCACATCAGCACCAAGTTCCAGGGCTCGTGCAATAGGGACAGCTCTAATTCAAAATGACTGGGAAGGTTACTATAAACTTACTGGAAGCTACAAAGTCAGCATTAATCAGAACTACCTACTATAAGCAGCTACAAATTAAATTAAAACTGCACAGCAAAAGGATTAAACTGTAACAACTTTAATTTGTACAGCTTACATGTACTATAACATACAAAATGTATAAATTTAAAATAAATGTACATTCAGTGGTTGGTCACCCAAAACAATTACAATGCAACACTAGTCCAGTGACTATATTTGGTATTTTTACTCTTTAGTTACTTTTTAAAGGGAGGGTACATATATATGCATGAGAGTTTGTAAAAATATATCTGACAAAACACGAAAACTACTTGCCCTAAATAAGCATTCATGCTCTCCACACTGGCAGGAAAATCCTTCCCACTGTCCATATCTTTAATGCCGCCAAGTCGTATTTTCTCAACATCACCCATGAGTTCATCTCCAGTAACCACAGCAACCTTTAGATCAGTCTTAGTTTCCTTTGCAATGGCCATCAACGCATTTGCACATTCATGCGGATTAACCCCTCCAGCATTACTCACCACACGGATCCCTAAAAGAGATAGCACGAGAGGTTTGGCCTAATCTATGGAAAAGAGTGTACGTACTAGTACATGTACTTGATATTATTTATTACTTCTTTCACCAGTACATATATCCCAGTACTATAGAGTACTAAAGTGTGACGTCATAAAAATGAAATTTCTGAAATTATGGGATTTGTCAGGATAATCTGAAAGAACAATGTCCAAGAGGCCTACTTGCTAAAAATGAGCATTTCGGAGCAAACTGTCTCTGAGATCATAGCCCAGTTATGCTTAGAAAACTCCATACAAACCCTTCTAAATTTTTTGGGGTCGACCCCCCTCATGTTGTCAGTCAGCAGTCAGTGCGGTGGCTCAAGCACGGTCAGCCTTGCTTGCATCATCTCCATGTGCTTAGTACAGCGTTTCCTGGCGGCCACTCTCTTCATTTAGCCTTTGGATCATTCTGTTACCCCCCATCCCTACTCCCCTCTTTTATTTTTTTCCACCAATAAATCAGTGTGACAGGAGCTCGGTTGTATTAGCATGGGGGCTCATGGCTGGAGGGTGCAGGTTTAACAGCTATGGGGGCGTAACTCTGTCTAGGGGCACGCTTTGCCAAAGTGGAAGCTCCTGGACATCCAGGGCACCTACCTCCACTAAGCGACGCAGTTGTTTACTAAGAACACAGCCAAAATACATACATCTTATTCGATGGTTTAGCATATAATACAAGCGGATATTTTGCGAGTTGCGTAGTATTTTTCGGAGCCCCGCAGGGGCGAGGAAAAATACGAGCAATGAGCAAAATGTCCACTCGTATTATATGCTAAACCATCAAATAAGAGGTTTATTATTCCACTACAAAAAAAATATATCTGGCAATTGGCTTCTATTTTTTGGTAAGAGTATTCAGAGACATCCTGATTCTGTCTGTGAGAATGACGTTAACAATTAGCAAAATTCTTGTGCGTATTATATGCCAAACCATTGAATGAGAGGTTAATTATTTAACTGCAAAAGAAAAATGGTATTTTGGCTTCTATTTTCTAATGAGAGTATCCAAAACATCCTGATTCTGTCAGCCACAGTTGCTCCTTTTGCATCCGCCAGTATTCGCCCTGTTGTAAACCAGTTAAACCAGGACACTACGGTGTATTACGGCCTCGTATTTTGCTTGTTTTCTTGACCTTATCTGCTAAAATGACATAATAGTGGAATAATGATGATGTGTCACTACCTAGATCTCACTGGTGCTTCTGATTGGTTGAAACAAATTTCCCTTACGGCATGACCATGACCAGATCTGAGTAGTGACATGTCATCAGAATGGAATTTCCGTGCTTATTCCTCAGATGTCATTTCAGGAGAAAACCAGTGTTCCTGTCATTAATTATCAGCTGTTTTCTCAGGCTTATGACAGGAGAGGCACAAAAAGAGAATCACCACTCCAATCACAGGCCAACAGTACATGTATCTGTTCTGCAGCGAAAAGGTAATGCATGACTCATTCACTCTGGCTAGGGGAGCAGCCTCTTATTTTTTCCTTTGGGATGATGCATTCAGTTCCTGCATCTTGCTTGCATACAGCACCTCTATTATGTTTGAATGAAAATAAGACACTGCTCACACTCTAAAAATATTACAGGCGTACTGTGAGACTAACCTTTCTCTTTGATTGGTTTGATGAGCGGTTTCATGACAGCTTGAATGAAGTCAGGAGCATACCCTAAAGTCTGAAACAAAAGCCACAAAAAACTCATCAAGAAGCACATGTGAACACAATATAATAAATACATTGTATACTCTTTCCACACATTCAAGGCTATAGTAATGGCGGTTAGTGTGATATTCTTCAAAATGATTACCCCGTAATAAAGAAACTTACTGGTGATTTTCTTTTGACCGCTGTTAGAAGTGACATTGTAATTTCTGATAAGTAATCAGATACAAGGTAATTGATGTCACCATTGTGAACAAGTTGTGGGGCTGCAAAGTAAATAAGTCAGAGTAATAGTGTCAGTTCCTCACAGTAAGGATTGTTAGGACCTCCAAAAAGATACCAAAAGGGGTAAGTTACTGTGTTAATGTGGTGGAATAAATTCAATCTTTTAATCTATCAAAAGGCTGATGATGTGTATAAAGCACCATCAAAAGTGAGTTGACACTTGATTCTCAATCCCTGCGAGAATCGAGACTCGAGTCTCAGTATCATGTCTTGATTCTCTATACTTACAGTGCTAAAAAGGGACAGTCCAGTTCCGGCCCCTCTGTCACGCAACACCAGCATTACATGACAGAGAGAGGGGATTCACGCATCTGCATTTGTTGAATGAAACCCTAAGTTTTATGAAATGTGACTGATGTGCTACAGTCAAAGAGCCCAAAAAGGGGATAAAGAAGTTTTCAAATCACTTAGTTACATTTATTTCATATACAGTAAAAATGTTTAGGCTTACCGTAACCTCTTTGGGGACACTGGATTTGGAAGCAGGGGCTTTTGGAGAATAGGCCATTTTACAGTTATGGATGGAAGCAAGGATGGAGTTGACCTTGTTTTGACACAAACCTTCCTGCTTTATTATGTGAATCAAGTTATTCTTAATCTTATGCTAACTAGTATTTTTCAAGGACAATTTCCATAACAATTTCCATAACAATTTCCATTGATGCAAAAGGTTTATACCAAAACAAGGACAACCTCAGCCTCACATTCACTCATAGGCCAGGGTACTAAGTCCACAACTGTAAAATGGTCTATTGTGTGTACCTCTGAACAAATTATCCTGGCTAAACCCCTGAGGGTATAGCCGTTCTTGAGCAACTGAGTAGTGTAAAAACCTCCTTTTATTAAGACTAGCAATAATCAATACCATCAATGCAATCTTTAGATAAGCGGGACTATACTGATTTGATTTCTTTTGGGGGGGAGAAGGGAGTGGGGGGATGGGTGGTACCGGGCACAATGATTACGTTCCGAAAAAATAGGCCTTTTTACATGAAAGAGAGACTGATGAGGGTGACCTTGTTTTGATACAAACCTTACTGCTTTATTATGTAAATTAAGTTATTCTTATGCTAAAAAGTATTTTTCAAGAACAATTTCCATAACAAAGCAAAGAAGGTTTGTATCAAAACAAGGTCACCCTCAGCCTTGCTTCCATACATAACTGTAAAATGGCCTATAGGTGGTTTTCACGTTACGTCATCGCCGCCATGCTGGTGGACGGTAAACAAAAGATCGCTCATTAGCTCGCTTTGTTTGTCCACCAGCATTTGTTCATTTCATCATTGTTATTTGTGTCTCCCGAGATTGCATGAAAACCACCTATTACATGAAATCGGTGGTGACAATAAACATCAGAACAGATTAAATGCTTGCTCCAATTGTCTACCTGCCATCATTGAATCTCCCCAAAATCCCGATGCACAGCCGATCCGCACTGTCCTTCCTTGCAAAGGCTTTGACGACATGAATCGTTTGTGTTGATGAACGGGGCAGTACACGACTGCGGCAACAACAACTCGATTCCACAGTTTTCCTGAAAGTATGGAGTAAACACTGGCCAGGGTGCTACTGCAGCGCGATGAACTGGCTAGAGTCGCCATTTTATCCTTTCAAAATCTGCTGGATCGTGAATTTTAGTTTTCAAACTGTAGTAAAATCACATTTTCGGCGCCATTTTGGATCCGGAGGCTTGGTTACCTAGTAAAAAGGCGAGGATGCCTTGTCTGCGCTTGCGCAAAAAAAGTTTTTCTGTAATCAGCGAAAATGGCGGAAGCCGAAGGAATGGATGTAGATCCTCCCGCACTTCCATCAACTTCTTCGGGCTCTGCGAAGAAAAGATTCGAAGTAAAAAAGGTACGCACATTCTGCCATCACTTATATTGATTACAAGCTACTTTTTGAAGGTTCTACTCGACCTAACTCTCTATTTTTCGCTTTTTTACAGTGGAACGCCGTGGCTTTATGGGCATGGGGTAAGCCTGAATTTTTGCAAAATGCGGCATGGGTTTTGGCGGTGCATTCGCATACTACTGATAAAGGATTTCAGCATTTTTTAAACATTAATCTTTCTTGGTCTTTTTACATTAGATATTGTCGTCGACAACTGCGCCATCTGTCGGAATCACATCATGGATTTGTGTAAGCTTAATTAGTTCTTACATATTTGGCGTAATCAAATGATAATTTTGATTAGAGGGCCGAGTTGTTCAAAGCTGGGTTAAGATAACCCAGGGTTAGTGCGAGATTTGAACTCAGATTTGAAAGGTTAAAAAGCAGTTCAGTCTTAATTCTTTTGGTCTACAAGTTGATGATCGGAAGCTCTAAAAATAACAGAGAAAATTATCCGAGAAAATGCTTTTAAACACAAGAAAAAGAAATGCGGGCTAAATTTAACCCTGGGTTAGGCGCTAATCAGCCTTTGAACAACCGGGCCCTGGAGTGTAGTTGGTAATCAGAATTCATGTCATTGACTCTCCACGTTTTTTCACTTCTTTAGCTGTAGCATAAGTTCATTAAAAGTCTTTGTTGTGTGTTGATTATAATCTTGCTAAACACCGCTACATTTAAACCACCTAGCAAATGAAGCTGCTCAATTGCATCTACAGTTGACTCCCAATAACTCGAACCTTCAAGGGAAATGGAAAAACGTTTGAATCATCGGGAGTTCGAGTTATCGGAAGTTCATGGCGAATAACCAGAAATATGGAAATAAAGCATTGGGATGGGGAAGGAATGCAAGTATCACACTAGCCTGCGTGGCAGGCACAAAAAGGGGAAGGGGAGGGGGAGAGAGAAAGGGAAAAGGGAAGGGAGCGCCTGCTCTAAAAGCCTATGTTTTTGCATAACGTCCACCAATTTTCTAGTAATCCGATTACGCTTACTGTCAATCAAGTGTCGCTACACTCGCCAATCAGACCGCAAGGCGGAACCCTGTGGTTACGTGGAAATTTATAGGATTTGACGGGAACTCACGTTGCATAAATATTTATCGAAGCGACAAATTCTCACTTCTGGACAACCAGAAATTTAACGTGGAAATGTTATTTTAAGAATTTCGATCTGCCACATGGGTATTTATGTTCAAGTTCAAAGCTCAAAGACAGAACGGCTGTACCGTTCTCGCCACAACAAAGTACAACGAAAGTTGCTCTTGCAAAAGCAACCAAGCACAAAGCCAACCCGGCAACTGATGAGGTTCATGGGGAGAACCGAAACCATGGTCTTGCCTGATCCCAAACTGTGGCAATAACAAAACAGTTTAAAGACTGTGAAGCTTATTCAAAGCTATTACTAAGGGAGGAACTACGCGCTCCAGTCAAAAGACTCACACTATCTTTACAAAAACACTAAGCTGGAGTTTACTGAGTCAATTCAATTCTCCATAGTAAGTTTATGTAGCTTCAGTTTAAGCTGCAGTTCACTCTTATAATTTTGGATCTGTAAGTCACTATCCGTGATAATGTAACATTCTGCAAAGAAAACTGACGAGCTGGGCCCAGCGTGATACAGCATTGCAGAAAAACATTACACACACGGACTAAAGAAAATCGCTTAATTATTCAGATCCAGAAGGCACCTTGGAGAAAATTGGAACCCTTATTCAGCCGTAATAAAAAAGCTTTGCGCTTGCATCAGAGGGCAAATCCTGCCGACCAGAAAACAATAACTACAGTCAACCAATATGTATGTCATGACCTCTCAGTGTGAAACATGCGGCTAAAATAGCATTTGCTCAGTATAAAATGCAGAACCTTCCAGAGCATAATCTACCCAGCAGATAAAAACAACTTTATTGGAATAAGCTGCATTTTGGCATGAGGTAAAAGTCGTGTAGGCCTACCACCCCCTTTTATTGCTGTAATTACCATTTAGCTCGTAGTTCTTCACACGTACAAACATTTGGTAAATTAAACTCTTGCCGTATCCAGTCGGCAAAACCGCCAAGACATCTCTGTCGGCTAAAAGAGCCCTTACCGCTGATTCTTGCTCTGGTTTTAAAACAATTTCTCTACCACTAGATAAATTCACATCTCTCAAAGCACTCTCTACGACATCCACGTCTACGGCCGCCATCTCGACTGTTTGTTGAAATGTGAATCGCGCATTTCAATATGTTACTCATTACGGCTCAGCCAATCAGGAATTTGCGGACGCCAGCGTCCGCAGATATGAACAAAAGGGGGTTCTTAGAGCAGGCGTCCCCTCCCCCTCTCCCCAATCCCCCTCCCCTTTTTCCCTTCCTCCCTATCCCCTACCTCCTACCCCTTTCAACGCCTGCTACGCAGGCTAGTATCACACACTCATCGTGATCACTTCAAGATATTGATATTTTGGAAAGGAATAAAAAGATTACATGGTTTGTTTTGAAATAAATTCAATGTCTCTGACTGCAGGATAATTTTATTTTGGACTAATGCATCAGTCAATTCCACCTGCGCCCAGCCCCCCCGGGCTGACCCCCGGGCATTAGCATTTTTTTTGCCTTGGATGGCAAATTCCCGAGGGTGGGGACTCTTGAGCTGTCAAATCCCCCGGAGTGGGGACGAAAAAAGAGGGCAAATGCCCCGTCCTCCGTCAACACTGCAACAATTTTCATTGATCGCACAGTAAAATAGTGCCATTTTGAGCATTTTAATGTGCGATTTTTTGTTTCAATTGACATCTTCCTTTGTAATAGTGCTAGGATTCTAATTAAGACTTCATGCCGCGACGATATGCACCAGTTTAAGTTTAATGGTGTTTGATTACATAGTTTGATCAAGTTTGACTGGTTCAGTAATCTGTCTCATACAATATTAGTTTTTAGAGGGAACTCAGTTGAATGAGTTCTACAGAGTTCAATCCCCAAATATTTGATTGCCTACATCAGGCTCATTCGAACCAGTGGTGGGTGACTTTCTGCAAATACAGTGCAGCTCAGAAATAACCGTCCAAAAATTTGCGTGCATGCGTGCTCACAAAATATCCCCAGTTGTGGAAGTGGCTACAAATGTAAGAACCTTGGCTAACACACTTTGACTTATAAACATTCACAGAAAATATTTCCTATACCATGTAAAGAGTTGAAAGAGCCAGTGATGTTTAGTACTAAGATATAAACTTTTCCAACAGCGATACCCAAGGTTCGATGTGCAGAATGTCTGGTGCCTTGATAAACATCTGTCATTATGATTGGAAAAAATGTGTAGCTTAAACGAACAAAAGTTGTCTTTTAAAGTCATTTGATTTGCCTCCCTCAAAGTTTGAGCCACTGGGCGGCTTTCAGTTCTCTTCTCTAAAACTGATAGTGAAAAACCAATGTGACTTATTTCAGAAATCTGTTCAGAAATATGTTCGATTACTGCATGGATGGTATTTTATTTTTAAAATAATGAAATGAACCACTAATGAAGAAGTGAACAGGCTAAGCTATTCACTGCAAATCCAAAACAGTCCACCAACAATATAGACCCAAGACTTGACGCTCGGCGTCTTATTCTTTTTGAGTCACTGTTGAGGCACAAGTACAGTGCAGGCTAGAACTAACCAAACAATGCAGATCATGTGAAACTGATGCAATGGACACGTCAGCTCAGACAAGGAAAGCGTCAGCGCTGACGAGCATCTGCATCAGCTCAGATGCGTCAGGAAGGAATACCTTTTTCTTTTGTTATTCACTGTGACAGCTTATCTCCACTGTAATCAAAATTTATGTGTATCAGGTTTTTACACTTTTGAGTGTATTTTGTTAGAATACTTCAGAGAATTGTCTCGACACCAAATCAAACGGTTCGTTTGTGTGGTTTGTTAGAAGAAAAATTTTAGCATGTGCCGATCCGTCAGTATGAGTCTTGTTGGCTTTTTTATGACTGCACACATCACACCTCTATTGACAAAGAAATAGCTCATACATACTAAAAGTGTTAGTGTGCACTGACACATTTCAGAGAAGACGTGTATGCTCATCAGCTCAGATGCATGGACGCATCTGGCCTGATGCATTGGACTCATATTGGTTCACTTTGTTCTGGCCTGCACTGTATTTAGACCCATGACTTGATGTGCATGTTACATAGAAAAGATTAATTTTTACATTCTCTACATACACAGTATCAGGAGCATCCCCATATACTACTTTGACATAACTGTGCCATGTTTGGTTTTAATAAGCAAAGGTTTAGTTATACAAAAACAAGTAAAAAACAACGCAGGTAAAAAAACGACGTTTGGGTGTCATCTTGACGCCATTTTCAAGTTCAAAATGCTTGCTGGTAAACTGTCAAAAAAGTTTTTCTGGCTAATGATTAGTATTTATGAAATACGCAAAAGTCATGCAAAAAGTTTTGCTCGAATTGAGTCTGACTGGACATTTAGAGAATGTGTCTTCTTCCGTCGGCAAACATTATAAGGACGAACACTCTACTGTCCCGAAAGATCTTGACAAACAGTTCTCTGTCCTTAAGAAGTACATTAACAAGTTTGATCGTTTAGTGCACGAAATATTGCTCTTTAAGAAACTAACACCTTTTCTACATGTCCAATCAGACTCAATTCAAGCAAGACTTTCTGCCTGACTTTTGCATTTTTCATATATGCCAATCATCTGCCAGAAAAACTTTTTTGACAGTTTTTCAGCAAGCATTTTGAACTTGAAAGTGTTGTCAAGATGACACCAAAACGTTGTTCTTTCTTGCCCCCGTTGTTTTTACATGTTTTGTTTCGTTTTTGTTTATCAATAACATTGTATTTATCAGGTATAGAATGTCAAGCTAATCAGGCCTCAGCAACAAGTGAAGAATGCACAGTAGCATGGGGTGTCTGTAACGTAAGTACAGTGTGTTTGTTTTTTTGATATTCTGTAGAAGAAAACTTACATGAATGTGTAAGTTGTGACTATTTGTGGTTAATGAAGCTCCTTGACATGGTTAGTCTCCCTTAAATGGTTTCTTAGTCACTTGTCAACTTTCCAACTTCATAGATACAAAGGAAACTGCCTTTACGTCGACCACACACACAGTCATTTTGAGTTTATCCTAGTTTATATAATTATGTAAAATAATTCCAGACAATTCAAGATTTTGCTGATCCCAGTCCCATTTTGATTTATGACGGGGAAACTAGATTTAGGCAGTTGGAAGATTGGGATTGTGCAGAAATGATCGCTCATCACAATCACCAACAGTGCAAAAATAAGTTTTCATAATGGTGGGAAGTGGTCAGCAACCATTGCAGAAAATTAATCTGGAACATGTTGGGAAAATAGAAATGCTCTCAGTTCTCTGGATTCGTACCCAATAATCCCAGATGGTTTGGGGATATCTGCCAATTTGAGTTGGACCAGAAACAAAAAAATCACTGATTGCCCAGGATTTTCCCAACATGTGAAAACCAGGTGGCTTTTAAAACCAATACATTGTACCTTTTTTTGAATTGGAAGCAACTCACTGCCGTAAAAGCCATTGAAGATGCAGTGCAATACATCAAAATGTAAGTGGCAGGAGATTTAGCCTAAACTGCTAAGGGATATTTCAGAAATGTCAAGGGACAAGTCATTCAACTTCAGAGCAAGGTTTTGAGCAATTATTAGGGAGTTTAAGATACCACGACGGCGACGCCGGCCAAAACCTCTCTTAAAAAGTGACTTCTCGATCTATGAAACTTTAACGCGATTATCCCAATTCGGTCACTGTATTTTATGTAGGCGAACTCTCCTTGAGATGAATTCTTAACAAAAATATCCAGGTATACTCAGAGGAAGAGAGATTCGTCGTCGTATGTTCATGTTGTCGATAAAACGTGAAATTAGGCAATTTTCGTCGTAGTCGCGCAGTGACGGCAAAGAAATGTACAAAAAAGGGTGATGCATGTGCAGAGTTGTTGTTTTGCTAATCTTAACCAATTGCTTTTTGTTGTCTCGTTGCCGTCGCCGTAGTGGCATCTTAAACTCCCTATTAAAAGTGCTTCTAAAACTAAAAAGTACCTTATAAAGAATAGCCCGGGCAAATTGGTTGATTGAAAATGCCTTGATCATGATTACTTGTATTGCATAGGACGTTAAAACAAACAGCAACTTAGACTGTAAGTTTTTTTTTCTTCATGACAGTAGTGATAGTGTGTTTAGTGCAAATTCCCGTAAAGTGGACGACACCTACATGTATCTCTGATTCTGCTCATTGCCACTTACAGCAGATCCTGTTACACTCACCTATTCTGTTTCCTTACTGGGAATTCCAGTGAAAAGTTCTTACTTTCACTACTCATGGAGATAGCAACTAAGAAGGGTGTCTGTTTCTTATTCCTGCAGCATGCTTTCCACTTTCACTGCATATCTCGATGGCTGAAAACTCGTCAAGTATGCCCACTAGACAATAGAGAGTGGGAATTCCAAAAGTAAGTAAAAATCAACAATCTTAACATTTGCTTCAGAATGCTTTCTGAAAAAAAAAAATTTATTATTCAACTGAAAGCTTTCAGAGCAGTACCTCCTTGTGCCTTTTTTGTTGTCGTTTAAAGTTAGATGGTATTATCTACTGGACAGTATTCTTTCCAGACCGTGGCATTGCGGCATTGCTGCACTTTTTCAGGAAATGCTGCACTATAATTAGCCCAAGGGGTCCCAAGGGTGCAAAGAAGGAAAAAACTATTAGAAAACGTTCGTCAACTTACATACACATTCCTACATTTCCTTATAATATAGGCCAATGTTTTAATTGGTTATGGCATCTTCAAAAAAAACACCTATCATTTACTTTAACTCAGACCTGTGAAAATGTTGAGTTAACTGTATCTAAGACTTGTGACCCGCTTTTCTCCCTCATGACCCCCTTTTAGCTTCTCTATGGGTCCTGTGGACCCAGGTGTAGAAAATCCTGGTAAGAGAACACTGACTGGATTAATCTCTATATATCCAATGTATCACTTATCCCCTGGATAATGATTAATCAGCTGGATAGCCACTAGCTGTATCCAACTTTTGAAAACGAGGGCATGGGTGCCTCTTGCTTCTCAGCTTGTGTCAATGTGTTGCCGTGGTTGTTGTTTTCGTTTCCAACATTTTCTTGAAGGGATATGTAAATTTATTATTAATTTTAAATCTGTGAATTTAAAAAAATATGATTTTGAATTATTCTTTCAGGTATGGCCGTTGATGGGAAAACAGTATTCATTGTTGTTATTTGTGTCCCATTTCCTTTCTAGATTTATGTAAAAATGTCGTAAACGCACTTAGTTGAACTTGTAAAGATACACTTTAAGACCGTTCTTTTCCATAAACAATCCAATAAAAGTTTGTTTCCTTTTTCTCAAGTCTAAGCCCTTTTAATCGTTTTGGATGTCACTGACTGAGAAATAAGTTCAAGCTGAAAAAGGGGTTACAAGGCTTGTGGCAAATTGAGTTAGATATTTTAAGCATCAGGCTTTTCCGTGAATGTGCGCGTCCAAGGGTCGTCTGAAATTCAGGCTATCCTAAAACATCGACTGCAGGATTCACCCTTTTTGTGTCCTTTAAAATGAGCTCTATTTCTAATGATTTCGCGTTTAGAGTGAATCAGTACAACTTTATTTCAGTTCCCTTGACAAAGGTAAGAAATTGTAAGGTACCATTTGATTGAATGTGATTTCATTTGCCCTAGCGACTTCGTAGAGGTTCCGAACAAAGCAAGCGCTGTTACTGTGTTTCATAGTTTACGCTTGAGGTAAAGTTCCGTCGGAGAGCGTGAAGTGGCAAAAGGTTCCATAATGCCCGTCTCCCTGCTCCGCTCGTGTAAGTCTGCGTTTACCAATAAATCCAACTACATTTTAAAACAATTCAAAATTGCGAGTTTCCGTTGGGATCGCAATCTGGACGACATCCGTAGGGGATTGCTCATACTCGATCTTTGAATTCTAAATCCGTTTTCAACCTCATTCGCCGGGTTTTCTGTCTTGTCTTCAAAAAAGAGAGAACCCCGGCAACCAGCCTTCCCTATTCATCATTTTCACAAAGACCCCAATGCCCCTTGTTTTCTGTCCCCCCCCCCCCCTCCCCCGCCCCCCGATCAATGTAGCTCAATATTGGATCAAACAAGATCGTGATCAGTTGAAAAAGATAAGATATGTTACTTATCCCAATTGCAACACTTAGGTATGAACGCGATTGTCTTAGGGAATCACGTGAGGCGCACCTCATTCTTAAAGCCAAAACCATCGAGCCTCTGGGAATGAACAAACGTGGCGAACAATAATCATTGTGTAATCTTTCTCTTTTTTTCGGTTATTTTTCTTAGCAGCCACACCTTACCACGTCATACCACGTAACTTCCTTTTGTTATTTTTCAGTGGTATATATTCTGTATATTCGTGGTTTTTCCTAATAAACCTGATGAAGACTGGTATTGGCCAGTGGAAATATTGTATACCTCAGCCTTTTTCACGTTGTTTGATCAGTCTTTGCAGTAGTCTTTTTTAACTTAATTCTATTTTGAAACAATGGTTATGCAAAATTTTGGGGGATAAACAAGGTACATTATGGCCTATGTGAAGATGGTGACTATACTTTCTTGTTCGTGTGGAGACAGACCACGAACACATTTCCCTGCCGTGGGAGGTCATCTGAATGGATGAATGTTTTCTAAGTGTGCTCCCAGTATGAACTGAATATTCCACTCACTGAACAGTGAAAGGACCACTTGAACAAACAGCAGCAATCTGTACCCTGATCTTGGTGATAAGGAGATTAAGATCGGCTATTAAGTAACCCTCATCGTGGCATGCCAAAAGGATTTAATCAATCATTCTTTAGGAAGAGAGTACTTTCAGAAGAAATATAGCGTATAAACAAGACTTTGACTCAAAGCAATCACAGCTATTGGTTTCACTTGAACTTTAGGAGTGGCTTTGCGCATGCGTAATTCTTTAAGAGCTTCTTTCTTGTTTACTTTCTCAAGTGCATGAAACATTTTTTAATGCAATATTTTTTTTAATGCGTCAAACTGACCGCTTTATAAGAACTGTATTATCACAACCACTAAGACATCAGCAAGATTATTTTTTAAAATATATATTTCTAGCAGTTTTTCAAACGTCCCACAATCATCGTACCGAAAAAAAGTTATAAGAATTCCTTGTTAAATTAGAGGCGTTTTTCGAGGATGACCTGCGTGGAAAAGGTCGGTGTCGCTATGGCGACCCAAATTTTTGGATGGGACTGAAAAGTCCCCCCAAAACTGCAACAGCATAGAACGTTTTCCGTCAAGTCCTGTTATAATTTCTTCTTTCTTTCTTTACTTGTACTTTTTTTGCAGTTAGTCGGGCCTTTAATACTGGGGTAATGGACTCTACTATTGACGGTTTTGATATTTTGGTCTTTTATGGATAACGGTTAATTTCTCCCCATTAGGATTAACAGACCTCTGGGAAGAAAAATCTATCTTTTGAAAAATTTCAAAAGTTTCCATCAGCTTAGACCTTTGAGGGACCTCTCCGGCCCTTTCCGGATTTCCAAACAATGGCTTATATTGACATGCACACTGCATGAAAAATCACTGCAAAATCTTTTTTTAAGGTTAACTTTTTCTAACCATTAGCGGTAAAAATTTTCTCTTTTTATGCGCCTAACGACTAATTTTTTTGCTGCTTTACGGCTAACAGGGGGCTTGTGTGGCCGAGCGGTTAACACCTCGAACTCCGGATCCGGAGGTCCGAGGGTTCAAGCCACTCCAGTCGCGTTGTTTCCTTAGACAAGGAACTTTGCTCCACTTTGTCTCTCTTCACCCGTGTATAAATGGGTACCGGCGACTTACTGCTGCCTGGGGCTTGACCCTGCGATAGACTAGCATCCCGTTCAGGGGGAAGTAGCGCTACTCATAGGTTTGCTTCATGCTACGGAAACCGGCAATAAGCTCCGGCCGTGTGGGCCTTGGGCTCGTGTGCACATTTACCCCCTTTTACCTACGGCTAACGTTCAACCTTTCGAGACTGTTAACAAGTCCCTTAAAGTCGCCAAAGCATTCGTACCAGTATAGCTACTCTTGTCGGTTTTGTACCGTCGTTGATTTGTTACGTGCCTAAGAAAACTAGAAAAGATAAGAATAATCTGATTTCTGTTAACTGCCTGTCAGGGAAGTTAAAGCGGGTCTATCAGTTCGACGTACTCCACTTCCTTTCTTGTAACCCTGCCCTTTTTCCCCCAAAAGTTCGGCTGAAACAATTCAGTAACGCGCATTTCAGTAGCGTCACGACTGTCTTATATTTCAGATTAAGTTGAAAATCCAGGCCACGGTAATGACTTTGCTAAGTGTGTATTTAGCAAAATGAAACCATGCACGTCTTCAAGAAACTTGGTTGTTGCTAAGTTTTTAAATCTATCGGCTCGATATCAACAATATGAAGCTAATCACTTGTTTTTCTTTTAAAAAGGTCACAGCTTCCTTGTACCATGTTTTAAGTTTCATCCCAATGACCTCTACGTTTGTTAATGCAGTTATGAGACACTTACAAGGATACCAAAAGGATTAAAACAGATTAAAACCGATTAAATGCACTAAAACTTATGATATTTTCTCTTTGTTTTTTTTATTATTATTAAAGTAGTAAAAAAGAGAACTCACGCTATTTCAGTTACATTTATAATTTGGTTTTTTATCATGGCAGAAATAATTTTCAGAAATACCCTTCAAAATCATAGATTGTTATTTTTTGGAGCAGCTCTTGTCCCCTAGCCTTGCGGGTGGTTTTATATTCCAATCACAAGTTTTTCCTGTGATATCTTAATCAGTAACACGAAAACCTTCTTTGCAGATTTTAGCTTTGGAAGAAGATGCCTCATCACCACTAAAATAGCTTACTGAATGTCATAGGATGCAAGCAAAATCTTTCACTCGAGAGCCGGGGCTATGATTGGTCAACAGAATATTCCGAATATACTGTCTATCAGCATAACTACTATTTGCATTAATCTACCCATGCGTATCTCAAACGATTCAAGTTGCGATTATCGCTGAAACATTGTTTTCTGGAACGCTTTTTTGGTTCAGATTCTATCCTTCAGCAAACACGCCACAAGTTTCCAGCAATGTCGTAAGTTTGGTATTCTTATCTTTTACAGTGTAGACTGAAAATTTGCTCTTTATAAACTATAATATTTAACTTTTCCAGTTGCTAAATTCATATTTTTCGCGTTCTCGATCATACATAAGTCGTATTTTCACTAGCTTCCGCATCGATAAATAATTTAACTTCCCGTCATCAATACAAACGATCAAAATATTGGACCTAACTCTCGTCGATCATAGTTTATCCAATGTTTATTATTTATGCCAAACAAATTAACTTCCTGTATACGTATGCGGATGATTAAAAAACGAATAGTAGAAATCGAAAATGAGAAAGATTTATTTTTAACCCTCACTGGGGCAT